CGGTTACATCTGGTAAACCCCTCTCAAGTTGAAAATGTTTTGGGTCGAAATGCATTCAGTACGCCTAAGCTACCAATAGCAAAGCTTGGTCTAGCCCACCTTAGACATAGAATAGATGCCATTGGGCAGTTACCTTAAGATTCATTTCTAGAGTAATTGCCTTTCTCTTCTCACCAGAAGCAAGAACATTTTACAGACATGGTGGGACAGGAAAACACACAACACACAATACCCAAAAACGCTGGCTACGCCGCGCACCTTGGAATACCGGCTGCTTGCCCTGAGGAGCTGCAGCCGCTGCCGCTAACCAGTGTCACGTGAGAGTATTGTGCCGATACCACTAGGCTGAGAAAAAATAAAAATTCAAAGAAAGTGCAGTTTCTACTGAATGCACATTGCTTTTGCATCATCATAAAGTTGGAAAATCTTAGTTGAACCACTGTAAGTCAGGGGCTGTCTGTGTATTTTTTTTTGTCCTTTGTATAATATATCTAGCAGAACAACTTTGTTTTGAGGGTCTGCTCTATGTCAGGTACTGCCTGAAGTAACCCCAGCCAAGCGTCAGTCCACAGCCTCTATCTGACACTTCTGGGATATAAAGCATTATAGGAAAAGTCTATAATCCCACTGTCTGGCTTCCCCTTGGTGATCCCTTCAGTCCCATTGACTGAGATGCTCATTTCCTGAACATGGAAAGCAAAGGGACTTGGTAGTTTTTGCTGCTTCTCAGGCTCCCAAGGATGCTGAAGCCGAGCAATTTCTAGATAGAACATGTCTTGGAGACTGTTAGTTTCTTGGGGCTGCCAAACAAAGTGCCACAAACCAGTGGCTTAAAAGAACAGAAATTTACTGTCTCACAGTTCTGGACGCCAGAATTCGTGGAGGCTAGAAATCCGAGCTTTGGCTATGCTCCCTCTGAAACCCTGGTGGGGGCGTGCAGAACCCTCCCTGGCTTCTCCTGTACCTTCCGGGACAACCAGCAACCGTGGCAAACCCTTCCTCCACTAGCAGGTGTCTCACTCCACTCTCTGCTCGTCTTCCTGTGCTGTCCCGTCCCTTTGGGTCTGTCTGTGTCTCTTCTTGTAAAAATATCAGTGGTATTGGGTCAAGGGGCCGCTCTTATTCCAATATGACCTTGTTTTAAGGGATTACATCTGCAACAGCCTTATTTCCAAAGAAAGTGAAATTCGTCAGGTCCTGGGGATGAGGAATTCAACATAGATTTTTGGGAGACACAGTTCGATTGGTAAGGCAGTTCATCACATCTCATGGATTCCTGTCACAGCTGTTTGCTTCTAAGGACAGGTTAGATCTGAGGTGGAGCTGAAGAGTGTTTTTGTGTGAGATGGTGCATTGTTGCTCTTGGTTCTCTTGGTTGAAAGGGCTCAGAAACCCATCCTCCCCTAGATTAGGCTAAAAGGAGTTCTCAGGCTATAGAGTTGAAAGAAGAATGAATTAGTCAGATTGTGAGAAGTCAGGGTTCTAGCTTGGCTCAGAAGCTACTGGAACGAGGGGCACCAGTGGGTCAGGATTTCTCTCATTCTCTTCTTTGGGCTTCATTCTATCTGCTGTCCATTGAAAGGACTTCTAACGGTAGGTCACATGGCCGTTGCCAGTTCCCAACCTTCACTCTTAAGATTTCTAGCAGTAGAAGAGGGCTGCCTTCAGGGCCAGCTCTCAGGGGCAGACACCCAATGGGAGAGAGCCAGCAGCCACGGGGGCAGGGGTGCCTTGTCATGGACCAGGAAGCTTTGGCTAGTCGGATGGAGTCTCCCCAAAACAAGGCAGTTCCTTCAATAGACAGGTAGATGAGGGAACAATAGATAGCATTACATATGTATACTACAAAAAAGCTATCCAATTTTTATGTAAATTTTCTAGATGGACTCCAGTCCCTGTTAATTCCAGAGAATTGCTGTGTTCTCTCTTTTGTGTTACTCAGTAGATCAGGTTTACATCTGTGCCCCAGAACAATGACTCAGGACATTTACTGCATCTGAATTCTGTAATAATTTCAGGTTGATTTGAACATTGTTTAGGTCAGATGTTTTTGCATACAAGATTTTTGTGTTTTGGAGGGTGGAGGGGAGCATCTAATAGTCAATTATGGATCCAGGATTTATTTATAAAAATAGACTTTAAAGATAATTAGTAACATTCACTGAAGTTTAAAAGTGACTATTTTTAACGTCCATATTTTAGCAAAGCTATCTTTCCTTTCCTTTCTCTTTCAAGCATTTCTTTAACTGTGAGAAATAAGCAACTTCACAAATGCTGATTCACTGCAGGACTACAATGAGCACATTAAATGTGCTTCTATTTCTAGAGTAGTGGAACGGATTGTTTGGCCAAACCAATTAGAGAAAGTAGGAGCAACTTCCATGCCCCTCTGCTACACTGCAGACAACAGAGTGATTATGGGAGCCTAATCTTTTTCCTGCCAAATCCTATGTCAAATTCTCAAGGCTGTCAGTGACAGTGGAGCTTGGTGCTCCACTGAGCACCAAGCCTAATTTCCAGCTGCCAAGCAGACGTCCTCATCTGGATACAAGTGGGAACTTCCCTTCCAACTTGAGCAAAAGCAACTTAAGCCCCTGCCTTCTCCCACACTTCCTTCCTCCATTAATGGCATCATCACCCTCCTTGGCAATGAGGTCCGGGGCAGAGGCAGCTCTTTTTTTCCCCCTCTGTCCAGACCTTCTGCTAGTCACCTAAATATTATTCATTGTATCACCTAACTTGGCTGCGTATCAGAATCATCCAAGGGAATTCAGATGGGAGGTCCCATTTCTGGAGGTTCCAACCTGGTAGATCTGGAAGTGACCTGAGCATCTTCATTTAAAGTCCCTACCATCCCCCAACACGCGATCTGATGAAGACCAGGATGTAGGAGTCACTGTCCCAAATACCTCCAGTCCCTCACATCTACTCTAGCTCCACCCCCACGTTTTCCAGCCCCACCTCGGCATCCAGCATCTCCAGACCTCTCGATAGCGAAGCACTACACCAGCACAGGCATTGGGACACCTGTTTTCCAGACATTTTGTTAATCAGTGGAAGTACAAAGATGGATAAAGTGCAGCCCTCTTCTCAGGGCCATTCTTTAGCGAGGGAGATAATCCAGGAAACCAAATTTGGTTCTTGAGATGGGTCCTGTGACTAGGAGAATAGGAAGTACCCTATGGTCCCAAAAGGGACCGAATCCTTTTGATCGGAGACTTTTTTATTCTAGAAGGTCTCAGAATGCTTCACAGAGGAAGTGATGCTGAATTTAGGATAAAGGTAAGTTTATTAGACAGAGAAGCACTGGAGGGAAAGAACATTCCAGGCAGTTTAAGCAAGGGAATGATATGATTAGATTGGTGTTTTACATTAATCTCCATATTTATCTTTTAAAATCACAGGTTGGACACTCTATCAACTCTGCTTGGAAGTCCTTGGTGGTTCTGCACTCTCTTCAGCATGAAATCCCTGCTCCTCAGTCTTATACTCCCAGTCCTTCAGGACCTGGCCCACCTCCTCAACACCATCACCCCTCCCCTCCCGTGCTCCGTGAGGTCACAAAGGATTACTGGCTCTTCTTTTCCAAGGCCGTTACCACTTCTCCAAGATGGTTCCCATCCATCATCGTGCTGTTCTTTCCCTGTTCCACTCCTCCGCCTTTACCCACTCCCATTTTTAAAAAATTGTTTCTTCATCTAGTTCATTTTGAGAGACTGAATATTAAATGGATGATGGCTGGACTATGTATAAAACTTGAACTCTCACCGATAACCTACAGCAACTTGCCCAGGAAATCAACCCCTCATCTACGATAAACAGCCCAGGAAGCCAGCCTATTAGAAGTCAGACTTCTAAGAAGCAAAGCTTTTATCTCTAGTAACAGTCCAGGAAGCTAATCAATAACTTCTTTGACAATTGGCCCCAAATGGCCAGGACTTGCTTCATAACTGACAGCTTCTTTCATTATTGTCCAGCTTCTAATACAGGACCAATCAGAGAAAGCCAACTATGCATCCCTAACCAATCACATAGGACATCCTACTTCTAGTTAGCTGCCTCTTGCCTATACCAACAGCCCCCATCAGGGCACATCGAAGCCTTCCCTTTCCTCTGCCTGCCTGCAAGTCCCTCCAAGTGCAAGTGCTGGTGCCCCCACTTTAGCAATAAATAACCTGAGCTCGTTCTCTCTGGGCCTTTACTTACTCCCACAATTAGTAAACTGTTAAAATCAACACATCAGAACTATGTGTGACTGGCCTCTGTTTTTTCTATACTCAACAAAATGCTCATTTATTGCTTTTCATTGTTAGATCACTTCCCTAATCTGCATAGAAAGTGACTAATTTCCACACTAGCCTAAAGAGAAATGGTCGCAGTAGGAGTCCCCAAGCCCTTGTTGCCCAGTTTTATGTACACACTGCTGCAATAAATGTTGCGTGTTCACTGGTCGATATCAGTCTGAAGTTACTTAGCTTGAGGTTGACACGTTATTGTATTAGCGCCACTTTAGTAATTTACCTGCAAGGCTGAGACAATATGTCATATTTCCAGCTTGTCACAGTGATGGATGTTCTTCTTGGCAGAAGACAGACCCTGCCGTCCGCCTCCTGTAGCCCTGCAAGCTGCCTCCTGGCCGGCCTCCTGAGGGTTTATCATGTCATTTCCTTCTACTCCCTCTAGCCCTAAAAAATCTAATCCCCTGAAGTCCCAGATCTCAACTTTCCAGGACTTCCAGGAACCCTGATTAAGCAATAGGAATTTGAAGAGTCTGCTAATCTGGTAGGATGGTCCTGGTAGGACCCTGTGGTTAGAAATGAATTATTGTAACCTAAAGCAAAGGTCTCAAAAGCTTCAGTGGTTTTAACACGGATACAGAATGACGTCCAGCTTTGTGAGCAAATCAACCAACTCAGGCCTGCTTTCCCCCCACTCTGCTCCTCCCAGGACCCCGTGCTCCATGAGCACTGAACTCCCTGCCCCCAGTCCGTGCCTCCCACCTGTTCTCCTGGTTTCTCCTGTGCGAGATGCCCTTCCAGCTGCCTCATCTGGGTAGGTGTCCACATCTCTCATTCTCCAAATCCAGCATCAGCGGTGGGAAGCGCACGGTGAGGAGAGTCAGTGTGTGCTTTATTATCTCCCGGCGGTCGGATGCTGGTCATGCCCATCCACCTTTCTGAGTCTGTTTCATCATCTGTAAACCAGGTTTAATAATAATTACCAAATAGGTCTGAGGACTTAAAGAGAAAAATGTCAACTAAAACATTCCCAGATTAATGTTCTCTGTCTTGACATGGATGGTTACCCAGGCATTTGCCTTGTGATAATTCACTGAACTGTATATTTACATTTGTGCAATTTTCTGTATGTGTTGACGTCAATGAAGAAGTTAGAAGCAACTCTCGAGTCCAGTTTAGTAGATTCTTAATAGAGATTATAAATATTGGTTATATGTTGGTTGAATGTGTCCTCTGAAAACGTATTTTGAAGGCCAAATCCCTGGTACTTAGGACTATGTCCTCTTTTGGGAATATGTCCTTTGCAGTTGTAATCAAATTAACATGAGGTCATGAGGGTGAGCTGCAAGCTGTTGGTTCCAGTGACTGACATCCTTATGAGAAAAGACACGGGGGCAGACAGGGAGAATGCTGAGTGAAGACACAGATGCTTAGCGGGAAGAAGGCCGAGTGACAACAAGGGCAGGAATCGGGGCAAAGCCACTGCAAGCCCAGGACTGCCAAGGAGTGCAGGAACAACCGGAAGTTGGGAGAGAGAGCGTGGCTCTGCCTTGATCTCCAATTCTAGCCTTCAGAACTGTAAGAGAATACAATTCATTGCTTTAAGCCCCTGGGGTTTTGTCGTGACAGTAGCCGTAGGTAGCTTAATACACCATCCCAAATCCATTCCCATTCATAGCCTTTAAATACTTATTAGCCAGGTAGCAACAGTGCAGGCAGGTCTGTCTTACAGGCCTTATGTCCGCACACAGTCTCATCCCCCAACCCTCTGGTCCTAGGTGCCTTCCCCAGCTATGTCCTTGGCTGCTAAACCCTGGTCCTCTATGCCACATTTCTTCTTTCTGGTCCAGCCCTGCTTTCAGGCCTGGTAGAACCCAGGGCTCAGAGTTTGGGAGTTCTGTGAGGCCCAGGGTCAAGGTCAGGGAGCGACCATAGCTCTCCCCCTTGCTTACAGTAGAAATCAACAGGCTCTGGGAGTTCTGGCATAGAATATATGGAAAAAGGCACTCCAAGCTGCAAATAACTCACCTACAAATGAACTTGGAAACGGGGTAGTCCGAGAGTTCAAGGACAGCCTATGTTTGACGTTCAGGCCAGTTTACAGATAAGGTTATAACTTTGCAGCACACTGTAACATTCAGCAGTCCAGAAACATGCTGAAAGAGCTCAGAAAGCAACTCATTTTTCCTCCCACTGAAACTCAGGAATGTCCTCTGAGGACTTCCACTGCGATATGTGAGTGATTTGCTGTTCAGAAAGCTGTGGCTCCGACCCCCATGTGATCCTCATAGCAGTCTAGCCAACCACAGGCAGAGTCTCTGGGGGCCTGAGCCTCCTCAAGGGGAGGCAGGCAGGGCCTGTATCGGCTGAGACCCAGATCCAGAAAGGGAGGGGACGGTTCTCCCCAAGGACGGCAAGTACAACTTGGTCCTCCCTGTGATCTCCTAGAGGGACAGCAAGGACTTGAGTCATTGAATCCCTCCAACTCACTGTTCTTGACCTACTGTGCTGCTCCCCTGCCCCCCACCTCAGCCCCACGGCTCGACTTTATCACCTTACATATCGGGTTCCACATGAGACTGTATTTTAAAAGACAGCCACAGCTAATGTGTGTCCGTGTATGTGCACCTATTTGAAAACCACTCCTGGTGGCCTGGAAGAACATTACCGTGGAAGAACAATGACGAGAGTCCTTAAAAGAGACAAGAGAGGGTACAGTTACAGAGAGAAGAGGAGAAAGCTATGTGAAGACAGAGGCAGATACATGAGTTATGCAGCCACAGCGAAGGATTGCCTGAGCCCCAGACCTGAGAGAGATGAGAAATGGGTTCTCCACTGGAGACTTCAGAGGGAACACGGCCGGCAGACGTACGGCCTCCCGAACTGAGAGAATAAACGCCTGTTGCTTTAAGCCGCCAAGTCCAGGAAACTGGCAGAAGGACCACGAGGCCTTTGACTGTACCTGAGAGAGGGGGCACTGGCCTCGCAAGTGTCTGCCGAGTCCCACCCACTCCCACGCCGTGGACCCGCGCCCTCTCTGTGTACACCAGAGACCGCAGCACTGTGTAAAAGGAAACATTGTAATGCTACATCTGGGAGCTGATCCTGAGGAAAGAACTAAGAAAACACGCAATGATTGGACTGTAAATATGTTCATCACCGCGCTATTTGGAATAAACGGAAGTTGGAAACAATCTGAATGTCTCACTACAGACATTAAAATTAAATACAGCATGGTGCGGCGTGGCCATGCAAAAGAACCCTATGCAGCTATGAAAACACCATTACAGAGACATAACTATTGACTTGGAAAGATGCTACCAACTTGCTTAATGTATAAAAATACATTGCATAAAAATGTATAAAAATACACTATTGGATGATCTCATGAAAAAGACATACCTAAGTGCCCCGTGCGAGGAAAGCATCCTAGGAACTTGTTTGGAAAACAAGGATTTTGGAGGAATGAGCTCACCCTTCCGCGTCTAGCCCTGAGTCCCCAGGCCACTGTGCTAATCTTCAGACCTTGGATTTGGGACTGGACCGGGAACATCCGACCAGATTTCCAGTCTCCAGCCAGCCCCGCTCCCTTCAGATGGGACAGCCACCCCCCCCCCACGCCCATCCCTGCAATCCAAGTTAGCATGAGGGAATTTCTTTTCTCTTTTTAACATTTTATTTATTTACTTTTAGAGAGAGGGGAAGGGAGGGAGAGAAACATCAATGTGAGAGCTATTGGTTGCTTCTCATAAGGCCCCCAACAAGGGATCTGGCCTGCAACCCAGGCCTCTGCCCTGACTGGGAGTCGAACTGGTGACCTTTCAGTGCATAGGCCAGGGCTCAGTTTACTCAGCCACACCAGCCAGGGCTGAGGTCATTTCTTAATCTATCCTGTTGTCACTGTTTCTCCTAACAGGGTTTTGTGGAATTTGACGGTTTTTGCACACTGACAAAAAGTCTCCTTTCTTTGCCTAAGGTCTGAAGTCCAGGAGAGGTTCTGTGCACGACCAAGGACTTCCCAGTTCAGTCCTCGTTGGGTTTTCCTCCGATTATAACCCACAGTTTTACATATGTCTTCCCATCCCCATAGAGGGTACTTGTACCATTACATGTGTAAATGCCTATAGAATGGATTTTGCCACCCGCCAAATTCTCTGATTGGTTTATAGATTCTACAGTGTCTATTATATCACATCCTTAAAGACATTCATCCCCTTATCTTTACATTTTGAAAATCTGGCCTTAAGGCCAGCATACTGAGGCTCAGAATTTAACGGTGAAATTTAAATGCAAATACATAAAATGTGAAAACTGAGTACCACCCCCCAAGCCCCCCATAAATATGTGCATTATGCATAAATACATAGAAAAACCTGGAAGGGAGTGTGGACAGTGGTTTTCCTTGACAGAGTGGGTGGTTTAGGGTCATTAGCTTCTCTATGTTGTCTACAGTCAGTATGTAGCTTGTAATTATAGTGAAAGTATTAGTAATAATAATTAGAAAAAGCAATGAAGACATTTCATTTCAGGGAAGAATAAAATCTGAAACTTGGCATCAGCCACACAGTGGGGAGGGTTATTTTGCCACATAGAGAATTTAGGGAGATGGTCTTAGAAGGGGTTAGTATGATGTTGGGGGTGGAAGGTCCAGGAGGAAGCTAGAAAGAAGGGGAACACTAAGTTTGGTGACTGCAGGCCTTGTCGGAGCCTCAGAGGCATTGCAGATCCCCACTAGGTGGGTGGGGCTACGATTTCCCTCTCACCTTGCTGGATCACTGAGCTCAAAATACATGACGGTACAGCTGGGAGAAACACAGAGGGGAAATGTTGGGATACTATCTGATGAAAACCAGCTCCATTAAGTGAAGAGCGAAACTACCCAGACCCAAAAGTGGGGGAGAACATCTTCGGTTTATAATATATTGCTGAGAAAGACCGGCTGCTCCCCGTCAGCCATGCACTGAGCACAAGCGCGGTGGCCCATGATCTTAGACAAGGTCTGGCAAGTAAGAACGGGGAACCGGGGGCAGAGTAGGTCCTCGCGGTCACTGGTGTTTGGGAAAGAATGCAGAGATTTTCAGGAGGGCCCTGAGACAACGGCAGTCCACAATGATAAGAGGTGATTGTTTTATAGGAGAAGGGGAGCAATAATAAATGCAAATATCGATGGATGTTAGCAAAACATAATCTAATATAAAGAAACCCGCCAGCAAATATCGATCCTGTGCCAACCTGCAGGGAGAAAATGAGCCCTTTCCGGAACCCGGAGGCCAGTGCTTGGCTCCGCACAGAGAGAGCGCTGCCCCGACTGCCGCCTCCATGCAGGGCAACTCGGCTGGTTTTCCCTTTCCTGCCCAAACGGAGGACAGCTCATCTGACTGTTCTTTTTCTCTTTTTTCCTCCTTAATTCTTTTCTTCTCCCCCCAGAATGAACCTTGAGAAACCCAGAGGCATGAAGTCTATTTGCAGGTCTGCCTCAGGCTGTCCAGGGTAGAAGGCGGGGGGCTGGGTGGCCACTGTGAGCCCGTACAGGATGCAGGAGGCCCTGGACCGAAAGGAATGCGAGGGGACATCCTGGTTTTCTCTTCCTGCCCCAGGACTACACACCCTCTGCCCCCGCCCCACCCGCAGCGTCCTGTCCTTCCTTCTTCCTGTTGTTCTTTCCCCCTCACTCCCTCCTTTCTCTGAGTACAAGGCATTCAGTGCGAGGGGCGGCTTTGTGAAGGTGCTGTTTTAGTTTACGTGGCTCTTCCTTTGTGTTCTCTCCCGCCCACCAGGGCTGATGTCCACTTCGGCTCCTGGAGGCACAGAGCAGCCCCCATGGGGCCCACGTGGCCTGTCCTGCTGCAGCCCCAGCCCCAGAGCAAAGCTGAGGTCCCCCCACTCCCCCAGCACCCTAGGACTCCCCTCTCAGCCACCGATGTCCACACCTCGGTGAGGGAAAGGTA